TATGTATGAAAACATATGAATAAAGTGCTGTTTGCTTTGCAGGGGATCGTATGTTTGGTTGCTGTGAGGAACATGCAGTTCTTCTAGGAGACACATTTATGACCCCCTTCTGGAGTAAAATTCAATTTTCAGTTTTAAAAGTATTATTAAATGAGTGATTTGTATTGGCTGCTGTTAATCCTGTGTCTGTGTGATTGTGCTGTCTGTGTTTTCCAGTGCTTCTTGGTTGTTCTTAATTGTTCCCTGTAAGCTGTTTTGACAAGCAATTCATAAATTGCCACCTTTGCTGCATCGATTTTCACTCATTTTGAAGTATTTCTCTACAAATTTTCTTTGTGTGTTTAAAAAATGGCTTAAAGTAATTTTTTTCCTAAGGCCCCTTTCACATGGATGGTGATCAGCAGAGAATCCGTGCCCAGATCGCTTGCTGATTGGAGCAGTATGGAACAGATGTCACTTTTGTGATATCCGCGCCCATTCAGTTTTTTCCCCTCTATCTTGTGATGGGGAAAAACTGAACTAACCGGACTCATGTTAGGTCTATGGGCAGTCCGATGTAGTCCATAATGTGTCAGTTTACATCTGATTACCTCTCATCTGTCACGATTAGGTCCGCCAAAACGGAACCCTGTACCTTTTTATTTTTAGACCTACAGGGTTATTCAGTAAAAGGTGAAGAGTTTGTGGAAGGCAGGAGAAGTGAACAATCTAGGACAATGTAGCTGATTTGAATAAATTCTCCAGTTAAGCTCACTTTCCAGTTCAGCTATTTTGGCCTAGATTGTTCACTTTTCCTGCCTCCTCCAAACTCTTCACCCTTTGTGAATAACCCTGCCAGATAGAGTTAATCGGATGTAAACAGACACTTGTCAGCTTACATCTGAATGTTCATAGAGTTAAGGTGCCCATACACCTGCAGATTATCGTACGATAATCGCGGGTGATCATACGGTAATCGGCAGGTGTATGGTCAGCGTGTGACCGCATCTACTGTACGGTCGCACGACTTTTGTCTTCCTGGCACGCTGGAAAACCTGCCGAAAATCATAGGTGATCAGAAGACGAAAGACGCATGCCCGCTCAGCATTGCAATCATCGGCAAGCCCTCCCCTCATCGGGGAGGGCTTGCGATGATCGCAAGTCAAGTACGATCTGCCTGTCCAAGATGGGCAGGCCGTCCGAAATTTTAATGACCTTACAACCATCGCACAACGATAGTCGTGCGATGGTTGTTAGGTGTATGGCCAGCTTAACACTGAGCTTTCGATCAGGTCTGCCTGAAAAACTGACAGGCACACCTGAAGGGAAAGGGGCCTAAGGACACCAGGCAATTTAAAAGGCACATATGAAACAAAATAAAGTAAGCATCTTGAGAGAAAACAGCATGTCAAAAATTGGTACGTTCAAAGAGAAATTGCAGCTGGAATTCTATGCAGATATCCACTTTTCCTCACCCCTGCACGTGAACGTTTACGTGTGATTTCGGAGTCTTTTATTTGTGCGTTTTTGCTCATTTTTCTCAGGCATGTTCAGACCTGAGTGTTTTTTGTTTTAGCCAATAGAAAGCGGGATACTAGAACACTCGTTTTCAGGAATTTTCAGATGTTTTGCGCTTTCATGGAAGTCTATGGTACCAAAAATGCCCCATTCTGCTTCAAAAGTAGCTTATGTATCTTTAAGAGTGTCATGTGTCCAGCTCTAGGTGCCTGTGTACACACTCATATGTGGACAGGTATTATTTAATAGCATGGGATTTTGGTTGTTGAGTGCTTCAAGCATCAAAACGCTCAGCTTTAAATCAGGGCTAAAAGTCAAGCTTGGCTCCACCCAGCATAGCCCCAGATTCTCCCTATTAGTCAGCAAAACTGCCCACAACATTGGAAACTAATATGGAGGCTCAGAATGCAGGGTGGATCCAATCCAAGAAAATTATAATTGCATACAACTTCAGCTAGATCTACAAGGTAACTTTTTGTATTTTTTTTGTCATACACTTAAAGTGACACTAAACTCTGCACTCAAATCTTAAAAATGCATTCAAGTATCTTAACTAGTAACAAAAATGTTTCTTATTTGTGTATCACTCGGCTGTAGATCCTCAAATCATCTCTGAATTGGTGCTGACACTGTCCTTCCTAATGAAAGGAGACTACTTTTGTTCCCCATGGTCCCTGTGTGTGATGTAAAGTAGTCACCGCTCCAAGCGCTCTCCTGTTTACCAATTTGTAGGGATGCATCGATACAGATACTAGTATCGGTTCAGATGCTGAGTATTTGTGCGGGTATTCGTACGCTCCCATATGCTCCGATGCCTAGCCTGATACTTCCGGTATCAGGAAGCCGGCCAGCGAGTCATTACACAATCAGGAGGCCGGGAAGCTGGCTCCATGCTCCCTTGTCACTTGTGACGTGTAATGACTCGCTGCCCGGCTTCCTGATTGGTCGGGAAACTGGCCAAACAGGAAGCCGGGCGCTGTTTAATGATGCGGCTCCCGGCTTCATTCTGGCCGTGAAGCCAGCTTTATGCTCCCTCGTCACCTCATAATGAGGGAGCATGGAGCCTGCTTCCCGGCCAATCAGCCATCATTACACGACGCCGGCTTCCTGTTTGGCCAGAAAGCTGGCTCCATGCTTTCTCGTCCATGGGACTTTCAGGTATCAGTATTCGGTATCGGCAAGTACCGGAAAAAAATATCGGCACTCGATACCGAAATACCGGTATTGGTGTATCCCTACTAATTGAGGTTGTAGTCCATCACAGGCGGGAGCTTGGATTGGTGGTTACTTTACAACACACACACAGGGCTTCCGATGACTGCAAAGCTGAACGGGCAGTGTGCGCTTGCGCACACCGGCCCGTTCGGCATTTGTCTCCCGAGCATGCATTCCAAACATGCTCGTTAGACAAAAGACGTGCGACCGTACAGTAGAAACGGTGGCACGCCTTCCATACACCTTGCGATTATCGTACGATCGCAGGATTTCCCGCGATTATCGGACGATAATCGCAAGATGTATGGGCACCTTAAGAGTAGCTTTAGATTGGTTACTTTAATATATGTTTACTATGCACAGCTGTAAAACATAACCCATAATAAAGAACATGATGGCTACAGCAGCTACAATTTTTTTCTGCTAATATATTTTTTCCTCATATGTTTTCTTCACATTGAGTTCAGTTTGTAATAAGATCACTTTAAGATGATCGTATAAAATCTTTCACAATTTTATGTCATTCAAGTTGCCACTAGGTGCCAGTACTGTGATGGTCTTTTCTATGTATTTCAGTTTAAAGCAACTTGGCTACAGCACATTGTTTCCATCTGTCTTGTCCTCTCCGTTTTGGTCCAAAATGTTCTTCTGCTGTATTTTGAGGTTATCTGATGGCGTTCCTAATAAGCTGTATTAGTATCTCTGCCAAACATCTGAAAAATGTTATTTTGACGATTTTCTTTTATCCACTATTCTCCTTGTTAAATGATTACACTTCCCATTGTGAACTTGAAGGTATTAGATGTAAAAAGTCTGGAGAAACAGATAACAAATAGAGAAAGTTAACTTTGATTACATTTTGTATATAAAATTGCATGCTTAAATTGACCCTGTCAGGTCTCTAATGAATTAAACAGAAGTGCTTTTATACTCGCTTCTCACAAGGCCTGCGTCTAGTAACTTCCCACCTTTCCAGTGCAGCAGCCTACTTGAGTCTCTTTGGGTTTTGACACTTCAGGGGATTGTCAGATGTCTGTGTCCCCCCACGGTGTGCTGGTTCCTTCCTCTGACCGATATGACACTACAGAACAGAGCAGTTTTTTGAAGCTCTGCGTGTGTGTGTGCATCGTTACAAACCCCTTTGAACAAATAAGTGAGTGGTGAAATCACAGCACATAAAACAAAAAAATGCACAAGTGTGCATTGATCCTCTTCCGAAAAGGCCACATAATCTTTGAACCCCTCCTTCCCCCTCCCCTGGGCGCAGGGCTGTTGACAGGGGAAAGGCACTTTTGTCCACCTAGCCAAAGAACTCCGTTCCTTAGGGAACAGCCATGGTCAGTACACCCAATACTTGGTAGAGACCCTCAGGTGGGAGTAGGAAAAAGACCCATTAAGGCAACAGATAGCAGTGATGTTGAGGATGGGGGATAAAATCACAGCACACATCATGTGACACAAAAATTTGACAGTCCCAGAAGATATTGAAGAGACTAAAGCTGGCCGTACACTGCTTAGATTTTTTTAAACAACGTTATGTTTGTTTGACTTACTATTAGTTGATGGTGTCAAATCAAAGATCAATTTCGACTGTAGTGTAGAAGGAGCAGGATGGAAATTTTTTCTGAAAGAAAATTCTAACAGTGAATGTGTTTTGTTTTTTTTGGAGAAAACCCCACTCATTCCAAAGTCAAATGTTAAAATTAAGCATTAGTATTAGTATCAGTGCCGATACTGAGTATTTGGGCAAGTACTCTTACTTGCCCAAATTCTCCTGATGCCTATTCGATACCAGAAATCCTGGTATCAGTAAACCGGACGGCGAGTCACTACACGCTGCCTGGCTTCCTGATTGGCCTGGAAGCCGCCTCTATGTTCCCTCGTCACCAGGGAGCATGGAGTTTTCTTCCCGGCTGATCAGAAAGCTTCCTGATTAATTGGCAAGCTGGCTCGGCTTCCGTTAAGGGGACTTTCGGTATCGGCGAGTACCAAAAATGAAAATATTAGAATAAAAATAGATCTTCTGTGCGAACGTTCGTTCAGAAATCCACTAGTGTATGGCCAGCCTAATGGAGACTGCTGCACTGTAATGGAGGGGAGGGAGAAGACACAGGCTACCAGACAAGTACAAATTCTATCCCTTCTGATGCAGGGAACAATCATTTTGATGTGTTTAGAGACTTGGCAGGGTCTCTTGAATATTGATATTTGCTAGAAATTTACATATTGTTCTTTACCCCTAGGGATTGTCAACGTGTGTTTTTTTTTTTTTTAGAGGTTGTTAATTTTTTTTATTGCTAGTCCATCTGGTGTTTTTTGTCTCAATTTTTGACATCTACTTCACATCTCCGCTGGTCCATGGAATGACCCCACAACACACTTTGCTGCCATCTCCGGCAAAACGTCTAGTGCTGTTTGTAGCTGATGGCTTGCGAGCTGACACCTTTTTTGAGTTGGATGAAAATGGTGTTTCTCGGGCTCCTTATCTCAGGTAAGATCACATGGTAGTGCTAAACAAAATGTCCAGCTTACCAGTTTTAATATTTTATTTGTTTTTGAAAAGGTACATGTGAAAATAAAAATATGGGAACTGCCAGATTTGTTTTTTGGTGTAATTTATAGTCTTTCAAAGTCTTTTTTTTCTTCTTCTAAATAAACGTGATTATCTTAATGCAATATTCTTGACAATAAGGAGTGTATTTACAAACAGTTAGCCGAGCCATTTGCCTGCAAAATTGCTTGTCCATTCACCCTGTGCCAATGGAGGCAAAAACTAATATTATTAGCTTATTTTCTGTACAGGTCAAATGTAATATCAGGAATATATCATATTATGGCTAATAGATTGAGCTGAGGGGCAAAGGAAATAAAAATGTTTTTTCCTTATGCTCCTCAGTTCTATCTAGTGGTTATAATGTGGTATTTTGCTGACATTACATTGAACTCGAAAAGAAAATATGCTAATGACATTCGCTTTTACCTTCATTCACACAGAACAAATGTATATGAAATTCTGCAGGAGTAATAGCTCTGCGAATTGTATATAAATACACCCCTATGTATTATGTTTTAAAAACTTTCTCTCTATGTATGATTTGTAAATATATATGTACACAGGGGAGGTATATTTGCTCACTATATATGCAGGCTTGGCTTTGTGCTTTGCAGAGCTGCATAATGGTTAGGCTTTACTGCTCCTTCTCACAATGCAAATCTATAAGTCATTTGAAAAATAATAGGCCTGAAACCATTGCGCTCCCTATGTGACTGATATATTATTTCAATAGTCGTTAAATGGAATGTAAAGTGTTTTCCTTCTTTAGCTATTATGGTTAGACCCATAATATATATTTTGATTTTTTTTTTACACTGCATTATATAAAGCTGAAGACAGAAAATGTGTCCATTTTACCATTGCAGCGCTCTTAGATAACCCCATAATTTATCTAAAGTTGACTGTGAAAGGAAATCAAGCACTTAATGTGGGCAAACCTAATTTTCTCTCTCTCCCAGATTTTATACATTTGTCACTATAGTGCTATTGTAGCATACTAATGGGGTTCATTTATTCACTGAGTGTTTCCTGTATACTTTCGTCATCGCTTCAGTTAGGGGATTGGCAGAATTCTCAGGGTGTCAGATTAAGGTTTAAGGTAATTTAACTGTATAATTTATTTTAAATAAGCATATTTTATATATTATCATTACCTGTAACATTATATTCTTCCATGATTTACTGTTATATATTTAAGCTGACCTCCATATCTTATAGTTATATTAGGAGAAGAATACTGAAGTAAAATGGCTTTATAGTTTCCCCGCTTAGTTTCATGTTGAAATGCAGATTTCAGGTTCATAATAATAATATAGGATAAACAATAGATTAGTATCAGATAAGATAAGTTTTAGTATTAGATAAGAATAGATGGAGAAATATTGAGAGCGTAAAATGTACTCCTCCCACTATTTAGAGCCGGCATGTGACACTGCAGGTGTCACATGCCTGCTGTATAGATCGAGAGCTGAGTGATCACGAACCGCTGATGACTCAGCTCATGGTCTTCTCCTTGCAGAGGCATTCAGGCATTCCATCCTTCCTTCTGTGTTCCTCCAGCGCTCATTAGAGGGACAGACGGGAGAGGGTGGGCATAGCTGCCTCTGCCTCCAAAGAGGCAGAGCCAGCTGTCAATCAGGCAGCTGGGTGGATCCCGACAATATTGTCTGTATCTTTCTTTGCTGCACGCTGCTCTGTGCTATCACCAAATAGTAGGCAGTAGCCGCTAGATGCTGACTTTGGGTCACAGAAGTGGGTCACAGAAGTAGTAGTAGTAAATGTACTCCTTTGACGCAAAAGAGAACTAAAGCCAAAAAAAGGTTTGGCTTTAGTTCTCTTTTAATGCTTGCATAGTTGCATTCAAAAATTCTAATTAGAAAGGGCAGTTTTTTAAAGAATAACCTTACCCCCTTGGACTTCTTTAAGAGAACGTTGGGGTTCCATCAGGGTTCTGCCTTTGTTCAATATGGCATTACATTATGATGGTGTTATACTGCACATGAGCGGTAGTGTATCATCTCATAAGTGTCTAAGGTCACAGATAGAGGAAAGTAGCAGAAGATGGAGAGAAATGCAAGTGTTCGAAGGGAAAAAGGGAAGCAAGAGTACAAAAAGGAAGAGAGAGGCCACAGTAGAGGCAGAGAAAGAAAGGAGTAGAAAGCGAGACGGGGGCAGAAGTAGTGAGAGGTGATGGGAGCAGGACAAGAGAGAAAGAGAAAGGCAATAGTACTGAGTGAGGGAGTAAGCAGTAGAGATGGAGGAAAGCATATTTCTTAAAAGAGAACTATGGGGTAACCTTTTTATCCTATAGTTCTCTTTAGGGTCACGGGAGGACATATACTAACCTCCTCCCTTGACCCTAAACTCTGTATAAAGCAGGCTATTGCCCGCTGTATGCTGAGAGCGCCACAGCCGGCACGGATCCCGGCAATAGTGTAGAGATCTACCCCGCTGACTGATTGACATCGGGCTGTGTCTATCTAGAGGCAGAGCCAGCTATGTCCGCCCCCTCTTCCTTCCGTCCCTCCAGTCAGCGTTGGAGGTTTAGGGAGAGGGGAGGGGGGGAATCCCTGCGGGGAGCGGTGACTGTCAGTCACCGCTCTCTGCAGGGAGATGATTGGGAAATGAGCGAGCAGCGGTATGTGTTCGCTCACTTTCCGATTTAAGAAAGTTGACTTGTGACAGTTTCAATATCACATGTCGGCTCTAACTATGAGGATGGTGTCATTCACTCACCCCATATGGTCGGCACATGTGCAGGGGAAGAGAGCAGATGCAGTAACAGAATCTCGCCAGGGGAAGAGAGCAGATGCAGTAACAGAATCTCGCCAGCACTATGCTTCTTATTATTTTGTAAACACTGCAGTTCCACTTTAAGCATAATGTCTTCTCCCAATCTCTACAGTAATAAGACCTCCATAGCTCAAAGTACACTCAACTGACACAGCAGCAGGTGTTATTCTTACCCTCGCCGCAACTGCACCTGACATGCACTTTTACACTTAACACCACTGCATCCAATATGCACTCTTAAATTTGATCCCACTGTACCCGATGCATACTCTTAGGGCAGGTTCACACCATTTTCGGACCAGATCTGGAATGCAGTGCATTGCGTTTTGCAGCGATTTTATAGTGAATTTGACGCATTTTGGAGCTGGTTTTTTTAAGCTTAAAATGGGCTTTCAGGTGCGTTCCAGTGCATTTGCATGCCTTTTTGATGTGTTTCCATGCGTTCCAGTGCCTTCCAGACCAGACAAAATGAGACATGCAGTATTTTTCTGTTCTGGTCTGGAACAATCTGCGCTGGTGTGAACAGAGGCCAGGAATAGTCTAGGGATACATTGGGATGCATTTTAGGTCCAGAAACAATCTGGTCTGGTCTGGAGATGATCTTTTGGTGGTGTGAATGGGTCCTTAGAGCTCATTCACACAGGTGTGCACATTCATACGGCATGCACGCCTGTGCAGAGACCTGGTTATGCTTGTTATTGCGTGCAGCTGCCTGTATCTCCCTATGGGAGGACGCGTCTGTACACGGCTACACACCGACATCCGTGCAGGTGCAGGTGCCCGCACTTGGATGCAGATGGTGTGCATTCAAGTGCGGGCACCCTGGCACACCCCTGTGAATGAGCCTTTACACCCGCGGCAACTGCACCTGATGTGCACTCTTACACTCAACGCGACTACACCTGACGTGTACTCTTAACCTGGTCATACACTGTTATATTTTCTTTCTTCAACCTGCAGGCTAAACAAAGAAAATATAACAAATTCCTCTATCAGCGCGTACAAGCGTGGATGGAGGAATCCCCTGCTGCTTTCATTGTATTCTGACAGTAGCCAACAAGCTTCGTTTGAACCTGCTCATTTGATCTGTTGATCAAGGGATGTCGGCCAGGAGGGTGCACACAGCAGCTCCCGCTTCGCAAACTTTGGCCAGTTAATCAAGAACCGAATGAAATTCACATAGTGCATGGTCGGCTTTACACTCGAAGCCCTTGCACCTGAAGTGTACTCTTACACTCGAAGCCCCTGCACAGGACGTGTGCTCTTACGCTTACACTCTTACACTCAATGCCACTGCACTTCTCTTATTTTTGGCACTACTATACCTGACAGGCTCTCTTACACTTGACACTACTGCACCTGACGTGCACTCTCATACTCGCTGCTACTGCACCTGACATTTAATCTTACACTTCAACCGTCCCTGAAGTGCACTTGACACCACTGCATCCAATGTGTAATCTTACACTTCTCGCCACTGCATCCAATGTGCACTGTTACACTTGCCACCACCGTACTTCATGTGCACTGCTACATTCACCGCCACTGCACCTGACATGCAGTTTACACTCACAGCCACTGCACTGACCCATATTTCCGTGTGCTAGTATATAAAAAAAGATGCACATTAATGTAACTCTGTATTCATTAATGCGTCATTTATATTTGCTAATGCATTCATTATTACATAATATAAAATTCAAGCAGTGTAAGTACCTTACTTCTACTTGGTATCAGCATCTTACTATCCCCATTTTTACAGCAGAACTTAGCGTAAGAGAAGCAGAAGCCAATCAGTTGTGCTGCAGTACTCGTGTGCTAGCAAGTAACATGCTGATATCAGTAGAGAGCAGAATGACAAGCTCATCAGCCCTGCCAGAAAGGGCTGTGCTATGTGGCAGAGATGTGTAAATCTTAGCACTGGATGCACAAAAATACAAATCGTTTGGCAGATAAAATAGTATTAATTCTTAATCAAAATGGCTGCCTTGTTAGTTGCTCAACTTAGCACCCCTCCCCCCCCCATGAGAAGTACGCAGTAGAAATAGAAACCAAGATGGCGCCTCCAGGAGAAACGACACCCAAGACGAGACGTCAGAACCCTGGAAGGAGGTTACGCTTTAATGAATCAGTCCAATTATAACCTAGAAAGCTATCGCAAACGCTATGTTTACATATACACTATCAGCTGCCTATATAAAACACAACCGTGCGAAACAATAATAAAGAAGTATTTTTATTCTGACTCTCTGTGTCAGCGTTTATTATTTCTTCACTGATAGTGTGCACACTTTGGACTGAATTTGGCCCAGGGACAGATATATGTCGGATTCTTGATGTCCGAGTCCTTAACACTTCTATATATTTAATCCATGTATATAGCTGGTTGACTGAAGTTTGGCTTTGACATCCTTTGTCATAAATTTTGGTGGGTAAATTCACCCAGAACAGAATAATAAGTAGTGGGAAGACTTTGACTGGTTTAATAGCATCACAGTTTGTTAAAAAATAATTCTCTTAAATCAATGTTCATCACTGTGACTTTACATCAAAAAATGGACTGAGAAGCGTTTTGGATGAGGCTCTGGGCCTGGGATCTTTATGACAGTAATCACTATATGTGTATCTGGCTTGTTCATATTTTTACCATATAATATGTACTTTATCTTAATAGTATCTGTATCTACTGTAGTGGATGCATTCTACACGTTGAATAACTTCCAAATGTCTTTTTGTTTCAGAGAAATAATCCAAACAAGGGGTAGCTTTGGTGTCTCTCACACTCGAGTTCCTACAGAGTCCAGACCGGGACATGTTGCCTTGATAGCAGGTTTCTATGAAGATGTCAGTGCAGTTGCAAAAGGTATCAGCATTTGTGTAACCCTGATAATGTGTTACAAAAGAACACCATATAAATAGAGACTTAGATGTTTTCCTTCAAGATCTATGTATTTGGAGAATTGTTTTTTTCTTCCAAAAAAATAAATAAAACAATATTTCCACCTTTGCAGCCAAATTGGGATAACACATATATACACCGTGTATAAGGAGGGGGATAGGGAGTTATGTTTGCCATAATTAACCCTGCCTGTTCTGTGCTGGTAGATCTCATTATTTGTAAAATAATTGTGCACAATGGGTTAAAGATTACAAGGCTTGGGTGGTACATTGTATGTTAATGCACGTTTAAACCAATCTGTCCTCAAATATGTTTTGATCAATACAAGCTGCCTATAGAGTCATGTATAATCATTCTTCAAAGAAATAACTAGAATGAAAATAATTTTCTTATATTTATTTTTAGGCATGCTGTGTAAATAGGAATGCACAACAAGTATATAATGGAGTTTTTCTCAAATTTGGCTGCAAAGGTAGAACTACACTTTAAATTAATGAAAAGACTGAGGTAGTTGGCTAATTAGCTGCTTCATTGTGACTTCCCTAGAGATATTATGCAGGCACCACTAAATAAACAATACATTCAAATCAGGCTTTTGTGTGAATAATGGTACTGTGGTAATGGCATATTATACCAGTGTATGAGATTTTAGAAGCTTTGAAAATATCATAGAGAGAGACCATAAAGGTATATGTCATATACAGGTGAAACTCGAATAATTAGAATATCGTGCAAAGTTCATTTATTTCACTAATGTAACTTAAAAGGTGAAACTAATATATGAGATAGACTCCTTACATGCAAAGCAAGATAATTCAAGCCGTGATTTGTCATAATTGTGATGATTATGGCTTACAGCTCATGAAAACCCCAAGAACCCCAAATCCACAACCTCAAAAAAGTAGATTATTACATGCAATCAATAAAACAAGGTTTGTACATAGAACAATATCGGACCTCTGAAAAGTACAAGCATGCATATGTACTCAGTACTCGGTTTGGGCCCCTTTTGCAGCAATTACTGCAATTACTTTTGCACGATATTCTAATTATTCGAGTTTCACCTGTATCTGTCATTTGAATTTGGCTAATTTTAACACTAGCTAGGTTTTCAGAGTATGATGGACCACAAAGGGACCCATCAGGACTCTGCTTTCATGGAAGAAGTGTCTTAGGTAAAAGTTTAACATAATATGAGTATGAATGAATAGGTATCACAATCAACAATCCAGTCTATGATAGTGTAGACCCCACCTTATTACTCACTCGATGACAGATTTGTACCAATAATAACTGCGATCAAGATCTAGACTAATAAAGTTGCATCAGAAATACAATAATAAAATAAAATTGACTTTATTAATAAGTCATTGAAAACTCCAAAAGAATATACCGTATATACTCGAGTATAAGCCGTCCCGAATATAAGCCGAGGTACCTAATTTTACCAAAAAAAAAACTGGGAAAAAGTATTGACCCGAATATAAGCCGAGGGTGGGAAATGAGGCAGCTACTGGTAGATAGATACCAATAAAATTACATTAATATTTATTTAAAAGAAAAATAACCTAGCTCTGTAAGTGGAAAAGGGGGTACAGGGCTACATATCATGTACTACGGATCATTTAACCCATTCATATTAGCAGAGGATAATTGTAAATCTATTGTTCAGTGCACTCTATATGTAGTATATAGTACATGTACATATAGAGTGCCTGCAACAATACATTTACAATGATCCTCTGCTAACATGAATGGGTTAAATGATCCATAGTACAGGGCTACATACAGATCATTTAATACATTCATGTTAGTATAATTGTAAATGTATTGTCTGCACTGTATTAGCAGTATATACTCTATATAGAGTATATACTGCTAATACAGTGCAGACAATACATATATAATTGCTAAATGAATTCACACCTGAGACCTTGTAACACTAACGAGTCACATTACATCGGGGAGGGAAAATGGCTAATTGGGCCCAATTTGGACATTTTCACTTAGGGGTGTACTCACTTTTGTTGCCAGCGGTTTAGACATTAATGGCTGTGTGTTGATTTATTTTGATTTATTTTGAGGGGACAGCAAATGTACACTGATATACAAGCTGTACACTCACTACTTTACATTGTAGCAAAGTGTCATTTCTTCTGTGTCGTGAAATTATATAATAAAATATTTACAAAAATGTGAGGGGTGTACTCACTTCTGTGAGATACCGTAGTCTTGCTGCTTCAAGCAAGTAAACTTTGTTTACACTGTGTCCGTCGAGCTGCGGTTGCAGCACAGCACTACACATGTTTGGTGAGAACATGGTGCCCTCCTCACACCATACATGTGCGGCGGTTTACAGAAAAACGCAGCTCGACAGATGTTGTGTGAGCAAACCCTTTATCTAGAAAATTTTATATTGCAACATTAGATGTGATGTAAGTGGCAATACAGCTGTAGTTGGATCAAATACAATCCCAACTGCAGAAAACAAATGGCTTGATTGAGTAGATATGCCATTGATGACCACTAGTATGCTGTATATTGCAGATATTGCATATCTTAAGAGTGTCACACCCACCTAACAAGATAAAGTCCATATACCCACCACACTCAGAGCTGCTGATCCAGTTATCTAAAGTGGGTGCAACGGTGATCAGTGGATGGCAACCACCTAGTCATCTGCATAGAAACATGGACACTGGCACTCCAATAGCAATATAAGTACGTCTATTTATTAACCTACATGCTGCATAGTTAAACACTCAATGCAACGTTTCGGGGTCAGATAGGATCCCCTTCATCAGGCAGAAACATCACTTATTGGAGTGCCTGTGTCCATGTTTCCATATTTCTACACCCACCTAACAGTGTGTTGTAGACATAAATCAGATGGATCCAGCATCCAAGTGTGCACGAAAAAAAAAAAAATCCTCCCAAGCATGAAGGGCATACAAGCATGGCAAGGTTCATTGCAAAACTCACCCTACCATATGTGTCTAGCAGATCCAGTTTACCAACATAGGTAGAAAATGGGTCTTCACAAAAGCATGCCACCTAGCCCTGATATCTTTTGCTTGAAGGCTTCCTCAGAGGTCTACAGGTTTTAAAATATAATTAAATCCAGACCTTTCTTTTAGTTTTAGTCCTCTTTTAGGTCAAAGTAACACATTTACTAATGTACTCCTGTGACCGAAAACCATCATCTAGCAGGCTACTGCCTGCTATTTGCTGACAGTGCAGAGCTGCACTTCTGCCGGGATGGATCTCGACAATATTGTTTGAATCCAGCCAGCTGCCTGATTGACAGTTGGCTCTGCCTCTCTAGAGCTGTGTCTGCCCCCTCCCCTGTCTGTCCCTCCAATGACTCTAGAAAAGCACATAGGGGAGGAGGGAATCCCTGCGGGGAGCTGTGATTGATAGTTACCGCTCTCTGCATGGAGAATACCGTGAGCTGAGCGGCATGTGATACCTGCAGTGTGTATACAGTATGTGTGTGTGTATATATATATATATATATATCTATATATAAATCTCCTAATAATAATTGTTATTTATTTTAGTTAATTGTTAAAATTGTTATTTTATTACTGTATTCTTGATGCTTCTTCATTGGCACAGTTACTGGTACAAATTAGGTCAAATTATCTCTATTATCTGTGAAGAATCAAACACAGAACTGCTGATTCACACTCGTGTAACAGAAACTAGTTTGTGTTTAACATTTGAATTGGCTGAGCAAGTAGACTGAATGCCTTTACTTCTAATGCTGACCTTCCAGTAATTTAAAAATTGACCCTTGCAGTGGGACTTCCCTGCTCTCACCCCTGCACTCACTTACTATGCAGGACTGCTGGTTCTGCATCATACATGATGATGTCAGAGTGTCTGCGACTAACAGAGTGACAAAGAGAAGTGGAGGACCATCTGTCTGTCTGTCTGTCTGTCTGTCTGTCTGTCTGTCTATCAAACAAACTAACATTGTAAGTTATTCCACCACACTCCGCTATACACCCTAATACACTAATAACCTAGTTCACATTTATTGCAAAGTAAGCCTATAAAACAGAAATCTGTGAAGTCTATTAAGGTGTACTACAATATATGGAGGGTTGCTTTCTAATAACTGAGACATATTGTGCCATAAAAAGAAAGTGTGTCTAGGGACATGTATTTTCAGAACAGGGACAGTCACGCCAAATGATTCGTTGTTTTAGTCTAATGTTTAGGACTTATAGTCCTGTACCACCATATGTTTATACTTTTTAGCTGATTTCCACTTGGAAATGCTTAGTGACCCTTTGTCAAAGCTGTGGACATTCAAGTTTTTACATATTTCTTTACAACCAGTAAATAAGCTTTCAACCAAAGCCTTACTGACTTTTGTCACTGTAGTTACTGTGGAAAAATTCATACTCATAGTTCACAGCACATGCGCAAAAGTAATTTTCTCAGCAGCAGAGCTCATCAAGCTCCTTCCCCTAAAACACCAGCTCTGTGTTTACATCAGAGATTTGAAAGGATTTTGAGTCACTGCTGAGCGGTGGATGGAAGATGAGCTCATTCCTCTGTTGCAGCAAACAACACTTCTTGGTGCTTCTGGAGGTGGGGGGCAATGGCACCTGCCACCCTGTGATAGTGCTTGAGTCAATCACTAGGCCCAAGTACTGTCACATAACCAAGGGAGTAATGCCACTGCCCCTCCAGGTTGCTCACACTGCTGATTTTATCACCAGCTGTGACAGAGGAAAGAGTGGCAAGGAAGCATAGCCAAGGTGAGTATAAGTGGGTTGGGGAGACCCCTTGCAGAGACACGGTCTTTCAGCCTTTCAGCTTTGCATTAGCAAGGTGACAATGTCTCTTTAATGTAAATATGCTTCCTGCCCACCCACTCTAGTGCTCTATGTTGGTGCAGATGAGTATAGGCCACATCTGTCCTCAATGTCCTCATGCAGAACTGTGGTCTT